TTTTCTTTCAGTATTTGGTTTGCCTTAACATCTAAAACATTGTCTAAATCGTGTGCTTTGTTTGGCGTTGTTTGTGTGCTACTATGTATTTGACTACTATTGAAGTTTTCAGGGATACTTTCATCATTTCAACCCATGACGCTTTATGATGTCGAAGTCTATCACTAGTCATTTTCTTAATTGTTCTAATCATTCTCTCCGCCTGTGATGCATGAGTTTTAGTAATAATTAATTCAATTCCTTCACCTTTCAAATAATTCTGTATCTTCTTACTATTTAATGCTCCTTCATCATCACTATATATACTAAGTGGATAGCCTAGAACTTTAAAACATTCTAACATAGCATTAAAAACAGTATCAAGATCATTATTTTCCATTGGAACTATATGACACTTTTTACTGAAAATATCGATACAAACAAAACCAAATTTAGGTTGATTTTTAACATCAACACCAACGTCATTTAACAAACTTGACATGACCATTAAATCAATTTGGAACTTATACTTTGGAAAAGGTGCCGTGTATGAATAGTTCTTATAATTTCTTGTTTGCTTGTTTGGTTGAGGTTTCAACCATTTAGAAACATAATCTAATGTAAAACCTGCTTCAACTTTATTTGCTTTTTCATATAAATCTCTAGCAGAACCGAACCCCTCATCAGCATCAAATATATCTTTTTAAAATTTCATCCTTATCCAATTTCCTACTCATTATGAATTACATAATACTATTTTTATATAATATCATACAATTTACGAATTACATGATATTATTTTTAACAATATCATTCAATTACACTAAATGCTTTTGACACGGTGCAGTAGCATCGCGTGCTACAAGACATTTATTTAGACTTCTTATGTTTTGCAAGATTGGATTTACAACTTAGCTGACTTCCACAGATATCACACACACATGAGTGTTGTGTCTTTTCTTTACAGTATGTTTTCAAATAGTTATCATCATTTGGTTTCCTATTGTAGTATCCGTTATCCTCTTTTCTCCATTCAGCACTTTTTCTTTTCGGTTCTTCTTCTGATGATATGTCGCTTGTTTCTGAACTAATAAATTCATCATTTCCTATACTGTTCCATAACATATCAAACTTATCATTAGTCAGTGCCATTTTCACACCATTATCAACAAAATATGACGGCATTATATTTCATATATAAAAGGTGATTATTCTTTAAGTGACTTTTCAATATTTTCCTCAAGTTAGACTTTTATTTTTCTTTTTACCCCGGCTACTTTTGGTGTTTGTGCTTTCTGGGCTTCTGCTCCTGCCTCTTGTTTCCATTTGTTCCCTCGTCCATTCACTACCTCTTGCTATTTCTTGGGGTGAGTTGCTCCTGCTTCTTGTTTCTAAGTGTCTTCTGTTCATTTGATTACCTCGTGATCTTTCTTATGGTGAGTGACTTCTGCTTCTTGCTTCTACCTGACGTCTTGACCAGAATGATGCCCTCGGTTGTTCTTCCTCCTGTTTTCTTGATTGTTCTGATGGTGTGGATGTCTTCTTGTCACGTTTGAATAGTTCAATTATGCTCTTGTCTTCTCCACCTAAAAATATGTTTCTTAACGACTTTATTTCTCGGCTTTCCTCTTTCTTATCTTTTCGGTTGATGCTGATGACGATCATGACGTTAAATGAAGACTTTTGTAAATCTTCCTGTTTTTCATCAGACTGGTTTAAATCATTATCTTTTACATCTTTTGGTTCATCTGACTTTTCCTTTTCTTCAGACCTGCCTGAAATTGCATAACTACAAATTTCATCAGCAAAATCTTTTGCTATATATCGTGTTGTTTGTGCGTCTGCCTCGTTGTTTTCATATAACTGTGATGTTGGTGCTACTTCATCAAACATATCAGGGAACAATTTGTGTTGAAGAACTTGTTCATCAGTTTGAACCTTCGCATTCAACCGTAGTCTCCTATCGTATTTTGAAAGGTCAAAATCGTCAAAGTCTATACTGTTGATTGACAAGTCAATTACCTGTCTTTCGGGGATGATTTCAATTTTTAATCTGTGCGTCATCGCTTCTTTCAGCATTTCATCAACACTAGGACGTCGGCGTAATCCAAAATATTTATCAGTCATATTTAAATATTATAGATTTTTTATTGTTGACTTGATGAACTTAGCTTCTGATTCAAGTATTTGTTATAAACATTGTCCTTGTAATATGTTTCTAACCGAGCACGAATTCCTTTTCTTTCTGTTGTGCTTGCATTGTTATATTCATCTAATTATTCTTTGACCTCATCGTATTTATCAGCATTTATTACATTGAATTGATGTAGTTTTGAAATTATGTTCTCCATCATAGTTCCCGGATTTTTCGATAAATACACCGGCCACAACCATTTTATACTAGTTAAATATTTTTGAAAATTCGTTCGTCATCAACTTCTTCGTTTTCGACATTTTGTAATTCCAACTCGCTTGCTTTTTCGTGCATTTCCATTATCTCAGCATTAGTAACGGTTGTTTGCGCGTCATCGTCATCATCTTTACCTTTTTTAAATGCTTCTACTTCAACAACTGGGTCGTCTTCTCGTTCATCTTCTTCTTCCCCTTCCTCTAATGGTTCTAATTCTGGCATTTCATTTGCGGACACCGTTGAATGAACTTCTACACCGGCAGGATATGAACTCTTTGAAACAGCACTTGCCATTTCTTCGTGTTGTTCTCTCCAAAGTCTCATTTTTTCAGCAAGTTCTTCTTTCTGTTTGTTTGTTTCCGCCAATCCTTCTTGAATGAAAGACTGGTGTTGTTTCAGTGTGTCAGCAAGTTTCAATTCATCATTAAGTTTAGCTCTTACACTGTCAGCGTCCGACATTGCTCCTTTCATAACTTCTTCTCTCCGGTTTAGTTCTTGTTTCTTTTGAATGTCTAAGGCGTCCTTATCATCAAACTGACTACCGTATTGGTTTAATCTGTATCTTGTCGCTTTCCTGTCTATCACATTTTCAATTGATGGGCGGTTCTCATCACCTACCAACGTTTCTTTTAACAATTCATCATAAGAAGGTCTCAAATGTAATTGTGATTTCAATGACACTACTTTTACCGGTCCTACTGTATTCAATCTATTCATTGATTTAATCATAGTATATTAATTATTTAGAAAATAAATTAATCAGAGATATTCTTAATCATTTCTTCTAAACGCTTCTTTCTTACTGTTAGTTGTTCCTTTGTTTGTATTCCGTCCGGTGACCGTGTGTTGTCTAATATTTTTCTTATTCTGTCTAATTCCTTTCTGTAACTTTCGGTTCTGTTGCTTTCAGCTAAATCATTTCTATACTTTATTAGTGCTCCCTGTGATTGTCTCGCTTCCAGTGTGTCCTTCAACTGTTGAAAATAATTCATACGCGAGGCAACTCCCCATAAATCTGAAACATCATAATGACGTTCTACTTGTGGTGCCCTTTTAAATTCTACATGTCTATGACTTCTCGTAAGCATGAATAATATTTTATAATTAGATTATTATTTAAAACATTGATGAAAATAATTTGTTTATGTTTTCTTGTTTATCTTGTTTTTCTTTTGTTTAAGTTCTTCATAATGTTGGCTTAATAATTCTGTTGCCGTGGGTTTCTTAATAGTTTCTTTAATCACTTCTTGTTTAATCTGATTCTTAATTTCTTCTTTTACTTCTGGCTTTATCTTTCTAATATTCTTTTGTGGATTGACTGGTAATACCTCAGTAGGTGCTCCCTTACAATTTGTGGGATGTGAGTGTCTCAAACTTTTCAATGTCATCTTTTTAGAGCAATGTTCACATTGAACTAATTCAACTTCTTTTTTAGTTCTTGGTAATGCTTTTGCTTTCGCTTTTGGTTCAGGACTAACTTCTTCTGGTTTAACTTCTTCTGGCGTTGGTTCTTCATTAACTGTTTCATTTTGTTCAACAACTTCATTATTAATAGGCGCTTCTTCTGTTTTAGTTTCATTATTAACATCTACTACCTCAATACTTGACGTAAAATACATATAGATTTTCCATATGGAAAAATATATATATATATATAGAAATATATAATTTAAATAATATCACTTTTGATTATTAATAAAGAAAATGACACATTCACCCCATTCAAATTAATTTCGTTACCTAATGAATTAGAAAGCCAAAGGTCTAACTGTTTAAAACTTCTACTTGATACATCCAAGTAAGCGGCGGCTTGGTCTGGTGACCGGGTGGTCGGCGAGACTGCTGGCGCTAGACTTCGTGGCAAAGGTCGACATGGGGGCCTGGGCAGCGGACGCGCCGGCGGATCCACCCACGGGTGTGTGGGCCACTGCTCCGGCGCTGGTGCTTGAAGGCCTGGTCGGGGTGATGCCACCGAAGGGCGGGGGCAAGGGCTTGATGCCTGTTGATGCGGCAGACGGATTTGGAGATCCGCCATGGAAAAGCGCTCAGGATATGGTCTGGCTTGGCCTTGGATGAGATCCCTAATCCCTTGGTGGGAGTGCGGGGCACTACCTCACTGTCGTGAATGGTGCCGCGCTTGGCGTAGACTGACTCGAAGGCTCAAAAGGGCCCTCATAACTAGAGGCCCTGTCCTCCAAATTATCGCCCGGGGAAAAAAAAGGCTTCCCCCATCACTGCAGGGTGAGCACGAACGCGTTGAAAACGGCAGAGGTCAGCGCACGCGCCCCGACGCAAGCCGAAAGTGCACTAAGATCCGCACGACGGATGCGAATGTGCGCCGAGCGGTACCCCAACCCCCCCCCCCCACAACCCCACCCCCCACAACCCCACCCACCCACCCACCCCACCACCCACCCACCCCCCCACCACCCACCACCCACCCACCCACCCACCACCCACCCCCCCACCACCACCCACCACCCCACCCACCACCCCCCCCCCACCACCACCCCCCCCAACCCCCCCCACCCACCCCCCCACCACCCCCCCAGCCCCCCACCCACCACCCACCCACCACCCCCCCACCACCCCAATCTCTCGTTCCAGGGGCATCTTCCAGCCCCCGGAGTAGGAGGTCACGGGGAGCTCCAGGTTGGCGGCCCGGTCCGGGCCCCCGGGGAAGCCGAAGCCGATGGACTTCATGAGGTCCTCAAGGCGACCCAAGCGACCGGCGACCCAATGAAATGGAGACCCTGGCAGACGGGACTGAAGCCCTAAATATGGCCATGGGTCAAAAGCCCGCCAATCCAACCACTAAAATAGACTAAAATGGGTGGTAATATTGGTTTTGAACCATGGCCATATGGCAACGCAGAGACACAAAGGGCACGGACCAAAAACGGAAATGTGCGACATGAAGCGCAAACCAACGGCGGGCACGGAGCCTCATCGCGTCGCTAGGAACCCAAACTGGTCGAAGCCCAAACCAAACCCTGGCACTCGCCCTGATTTCCGGTGGCCTGCAGGTATTGGGTCGTCCAAATAGGGCGACCCTTATGAAGCCTCAAAACACCCAGCTCTTGTGTGGGTGTTCAAAACGACCTGGCCCCTCGGCGTGCTCAGTCGCTGGGAACCCACACAGGTCCGGCACCGTTCTAACAAATCCTTGGTGCGATGGTGCGCCGGCAAGGAAATGAAATGAAATCAGGGTGCTGGGAACGAACCCGTGAGAGAACTCCCCAGCAGTCCGTAGGGGATGACTTATTCCCTCATTCCCATTCCCTGCTGAGAACCAGGAAGAACGTCTGGGTGAAGCGGGACAAAAGCAACTTTTGACCACATGTGAAATCCAAAGCAGCGACCAAGGGGTACCTGATCTGTGGCAGCGAACAAGAATGACTCCGGTCACTGTGAATAAGCGAGCCCGTTGATGCAGGAGTTCAGCTGCCCGCCTGGTTGTTGGTGTGGTGAGATGAGGTCGTTTCCCATCTACCGTTTGCAAGAACCAGGGCGTCAAATCCCCAAACCGCACCGCACCAACCAAGGGGTACCTGAGCTATGCTAGCAAAATGACTCCGATTTGCGCAGCCTACTAACGGGGGTCACCGGATTTCCCTAGTCAAGCGTTGATCAATTTACGGGTGTTGTCTCTTGAAATTGCCACTTTTGGAGGTTCAAAAAACAGAAATGGCTCGGAAACCCTGACTTAAAAATAACAGAGCTTAAAAAATATAAATAAAGGAAAACAAGCGCCCTGACTAAAAAACAGAATTGTGATTGAAAACAAACTTGCCAAGAACTGTTCAGTCCTTCACCACGTCCTCCTTCACTGGGGGCTCCAACTTGTAGATGTCGTTGCAAGTGTGCACCACCCACCACCAGCCCGGCTTGTCCACCGACAAAATCGGGAACCCGTCGTCTTGCACGCCCACCTAAGTCACGATCAAACCCGATGTAAAACTGGGTTACCCCAATCACATGTACAGAATTAAAAAGGCAGCCGCACCCACGTATCGCCGGGATTGTCCCATGCTACCCTCCAATTACCCGGGCAATTACCCGGGTTTTGATTGTGACCCACTTGTTCTCCACTTCCCAATTTGATCCGCAAATTTTCGGCTGCCACATCTCCCTTTTCATCCGCCCAGGAGCTGCTTCTGGGCGCCGGAAGACCGGAATGTTCACATTGATCAACCCCAGCTTAGTTTCATAGGTGAAAACCCCTCCCGAAGTGGTCTGATTCCCCATTTCACCCAGGTTGACACCCCCCAAAATGTATACATATATATATATATATTGGTGGGTTGAAGCTCAAAGAATAGTTTCTCTCTGCGTTTCGAACCCCGAGCTCTCTCGCCTCCTCGTCCTCGATCTCGTGCTCCACGAAGACACTCTTCAGCTCGTCCCGCTTGGGGAAGCCCTCCAGCTGCTCGTTGGCGATGGCGCGCATCAGGGTGGTCTTGCCGCACCTGAAGCTCGAAACGTGACGTGGCCATGGGTCAAAAGCCCGATTATCCCCCAGTGAACATCCCAATCCAACCACTAAAATTGACTAAAATGGGTGGTGCACCTACCCCAAAATGGTACAATTGGTTTTGACCCACAGCCATGTCTCAAAATACTGTTGATGGTTGCGAAATCCATTTCGCACCACCTAAGAGGAGCAGGATTTCGTCCATCCACAGTAGGAGAGTTTCCCGTTAAACGCCCCTTTAAACCAGCCCTAAACAGGGTACCCTGAAAGAAAGACAAATGCTCAAACTGCACACGTCCTTCAGCCATTCAGCGAGGCGCTGGTTGGGCCCCAGAAGGCCATAGAAGCGATTGCGCTTCAAGTGCATCTTGGCATCGCGCAGCAGCGTCAAAGTGCCGTAGGCCAAAGAGAAGGCGCCCTGGCAACCGCGAGGTTTGCGCGTTCTCGCGCGCAAACGTTTTCGAGTGCGAGCACTCGCATGTCTGGGCGTTCGCAGCAAAAGGGTGCCGTCCGGCGGGTTGTCTCTGCATGAAACGGAGCTGACAGGACTGGCGCAACCTCAAATGAAGGACTTGAGTAGCATCGGTTGGGAAGAAAAACAAAACATTCACAGCCTTGTAGAGGTCCACCCCCTCGGTGTCCTGGCGAGTTGCGCTCAAAGGGTTGCCACATGCGCTCTCCATTCTGACTTTTTGAGCTCACTTCCCGAGTGGATGGGCGCAAAAACAAAGTGTCCAAGCTCTCTTTATTTACCCCCAAAAATGGGTCCAAGCCCAAAAAAAAATGGGTCCAACCCCAAAAACCAAAAAAGTCCAGGGTTTGTTTTTTCGAAAAGTTTGCGACTTTCCGGTAAGCTCAGGTTTTTCCCATTCGCTGTCCTCCTCCTCCACCTCCTCCTTGGGCTTCGCGGCGATCTCCATCTTCTCGCGCAAGGACTCAGCCACGGCGTCGAAGGGCGCCTGGTACCCGATGTCCGACTTCCAGGAGGCCGCCTCGCGGGAAGATGGAAGGTTGCAGGCTGGGGGAGGTTTTTAGGAATAAAGCGCCACACTAACGGGCTGGAGTTGGTCCGGTGCTTTGGGGCAAGAAAAAAGAACGCCCAAAAGATGTTCCTGGTAACCCGGAGCCTTTGAATTGTTGTTTCTGAGAGGCGAAAACGAGAAGCGGAAGGAAAGAAGGCCGTGGCGCGTTGAAGACGCGCATGTTCGCTGCGCAGGCGGCCAGCGCCGAGACGTGAGACAGCTCCACCTCCCAGACGTCACCTGTCTGCAAATCAGCAGGGAATGAGTTGGAACGACCCGAGAAACCTTGGTTGACGTTGGAAGGGGAGCAAAAATTTAAATTCTAGCAGTTAAGTAGGGATTTCAACCACTAAACCACAATAAGCAAAAATGTAAAATGTTTCCCAACAACAACCATGAAACCATCCACACTGTGGAACATCCCAGCGAAGTCAGCGCGGCACTGATGGCCAACGGTTTGCCATTCAAGGGTAAAAGCGGCGACTGGCTATTGTCCATTGGGCCTCTGGGGAATCCCCAGGTTCCTTCCCACATCTCCCTCATCGCACCCTCGCAACGGCTTTCGGCTCCCGGCGCCTGAGCCCTTCTTGTCGCCCAGTGCGGCTTCCACCTGCTTCTTCGCCTCAAGCACTGAAATCACCACCCATGGAATCACCAGAACCCATGGAGTCACCAGAACGCATGGACTCACCACCCCCATTAGACTCGCCCCAACCCATTTGAGAGCAAGTAAATTAACCCAACCCTTGCCTTCACTTTTGGGGGAAAGACTCTCCAAATATCCTGCGGGAAAAAGAAAAAGGAAGAAGAAGAAAAAAAATCGCTCCGCGCCTGGTCCATGGACACCTGCTGCAGGGAGTTGGCCCCCTCACCCGCGGCCTTCTGCAGCGTCTTGTAGGCCTTCTCCGCCATGCCGCGGGCCTCGCGCGCAGACGCCAACCCAACCCAACCACGGGCGGCGGGGCTCATCTTCGGTTTTTGGGATTTTGCAACCCCCCCTTTTTGGTGATGGTTACGTGGAAACCAAATGGAAGCCATCATGTTGGAGGGTCCCCTAGAAAACAGAGTGACACCAAAAGAAGTCATTCGTTCCTTGTCAGCACCGTGCGTTTTTCAGATCCGGATTGCTTCAGTTGTCGACTCGCAATTTGGGCACGTGAAGCCATACACGCGGAGGAATTGGCACACGTGTGTGAATTCATTTGTCCATGGAGAACGTCCAATCAAGTGTGTTGCTCCGCCATTTGTTGGTTGATCGCGCTGCTTGCCGTCAGTGCTCCTTCGATTCAATGCAAGACAAGACAGCCAAATTATTCTGGCTGCTTTCAGAACCGCATCAAAAAGGTCATCCTGGAAACCCCCACAAATGGCAAGTTTCAGACGAAGACACTGCCAGAAAATCAGCAAAGAAAGAAATCAAAAAGAAGCAAAAAATCGCTGCAATCGGCCACCCAAAAGCCCCACGCATCTCCTCGGGATCCGAGATCTTCTCGGTGGCGCTCTTCACCAAGGGCTCCAAGCGCGGCATCAGCGGCAGCACCTCCGCCGGGTCCTGGCGGGTGGCGATGGCCACGGATAAAAAACAAAAAAATGTCCCACACTTGTGAAACTTAATGTTGACCCCAAACCAACAAACAAAACCGCGGGTGTTCTCCCGAAGCGATGAACACCATCAACCACGGGGTGCAGTAATCCGGGGTTCCGGGGTTCCCGTGATAGAGCGCCATGCTTCTTGCGATCGCTCGCGCCCGTCCTCGACCAGCTTGCACATGTTGTCAACGATCAGGCAGCAGGTTCGCTTCACCTCCTCGTTCCTCGGAACAAAAGTCAGAACAGCTTCCACAAAAAACAAACGAGACAAACACAAGTATTAATAGCAATAACAATGATGATAATAATAATCACAATCATAATAATAATAACAATAACAATAATACTAATAATAATAATAAGGATGAGAATGATAACAAGGATACTAATAATAACAATAACTCCCAAACCGTTGCATGGATGGCACTGCGCCATCCACGGCAACCCAAAGAGTACAAAACTGAGGCCAGGCACTTGTCGTTGAGCCCTCGGGTGAGCACGGGCATGGTCACCGCCAGCGCAGGGGCCTCCACGTTCTGCACGAAGATGCAGCCCGCCAACCTCGGGAGAGCTGCGGTCGCGTGCGCGAGCGTCGGACTTGGCCGTGGGTCAAAATCCAAATCGGTTTTCCCCCAGTGAACATCCCGATCCAACCACTAAAATACTAGTCCATAATGGTACCATTGGTGTTGACCCACGACCATTTCTCCTCTCTTGGTGCGGCCAGGGCAACTTCTCCACACAGGCGTGGGTCTTGTCGATGGAGGAGGCCGCATCTACCACAGCGGGAAGGAAAGGCTCCAAATCCTTGTTGCCTAGCGCAAGGCGCAAGGCAGTCGATTGCGAAGAGAACTGTTTGAGTTCTTTTTCTTGTTTGCTCAATCGGTCCAGCGGATTTCAATGCGCTCGCGCTCTCCCCAACGGCCAAAACGTTGAGCCTGTGCAGTTGCAGATGGCGGACATGCACTCCAGCGCGGCAGTCTTCACCTGACACGTTCGGCCAAGCCAAAATCCCTTGAGACCAATGCGCGGACCTCCTTCTTGATGTCGCAGGTGAGGTCGGCCACCGGAGAGACCTCGATTGAAATCCCCCCCGCTGGCCAAAACGAAAAAGGTGCAGAGCGGTTCGAAATTTCAAGAAGCTCACTGCAGCCGCGGCACCAAGTTCACTAGCAAATAGCCCACGGCTCGGGGAGCTTTGGCAGCCAGAGCGGAGATGATCTGGAGGGTCGCCTCCTTCTGTGATGGCTTCGCCTTCACAGCCAAGCCACTCAGGAAGGATGGCAACAGCAACTCCACGGCGAAGGGCGAAACCATCTCCTCGGAGTCACTACACTTCATTCCTTTTGGGAAATGGACACCCCCCCACCGCCTGTTGGATTCCATGATATTCGGGTGTCTGTTTTGGGGGGAACCCCGCTCGGTTGGTTTACCGTCCAACCTCAAAAAAGAGAGTCGTTTTGGTTACCCGCGTGAAAAATGTAGAGTTTGTTGGTTGCAGCGTGACACAAATCCAGAGTGCAGAAGCTGCTGCCTTCTTGACCTTCCCATTTTTTGGTGGCTTGGAGCCGAATCGGTGGTTTGGAGTCTTCCGGGACTTCAAATCCAAATCACCGAGCCAAACAAGCGATTCCAGGTGCCCAGCAATTCACGCGGAACCTCTCGACTACCCGGGGGGGGGGGGCTTCTGGCTTGGACCATTTTCCTTGTAAAGGCACAACGTCAGGTTCCGGCTAGTTGCTGCGTAGCCCTCAACCCCCAGCACCCAGCACCCAGCACCCAGCTGAGCCGCCATGATGGTCTTGCTGGTGGCCACTGCTGCATCCACCACCTTCTTGGACTTGTCATTGGCGGCCTCCAGGATCCTGAGCCGCGGTGCCAAAAACGTCTTTTTTGGGGGGAGGTGTCCTTTTTGGTTGAGAATAGTTGGCCCTGGTAATCCGTCAACTCGTCGCGCCCTCCCATCTCAACACTGACTCAGCGCCATCTTCTGCTTCCAAACGACCCGAAAACCGCACATCGTTCGCGAAATAGGAGAAGAAAAAGAAACTCCATCGGCGAATCGAAGCGAAAGCACCTCGACTCGAGACCCGCAAAACGCGACTCGGAGCAACTTGACCATGGCACTTGGGAAAGGCAGCCACCAGAAAGGGCTCCGCAGGGCGGCCCTTCTCTTGGGCGATTTGCCCCAGGCTCTCCAAGGAAGCTTGGCCTCGCGGAAAAAGAAAAAAAGGCCACCAAACCACCGTCGATGCCATGTGTGTCTCTCTTTTTTTGAGGAGCCCTGTTTGGCGGGTGAACCCTTTATTCGGGAAACCAACAAGGACGGACGGCGGGCCATTGGTTTCCAACCCCCCCCCCAAACCCCAACGCGTCTCACTCGCGTCTGCCTGCAGCCTTGTCGGAGATCTTTGCGACCAAAGCCTCGATCTCAGCCTTCAGTTCCGCCATGGCCTCCCAGCGCCACTTTTCGGGCTTCAACCCCCCAAAATGGGTCCGGAGTCCCCTGTTGTAAGGTGGGACCCCGGGACCCCGCAAATAAAATGCCGGGTTGTCCGTTGGCTTCCCTTTACAACCACCTAAAAAAAAAGGGCGGGAAAGCCCGTGTCAAAAAGACACAACCATTTTGCCAAAAGCCCGTGCGCGGGTTCAAACCACAACGAAGCCACCTAACCGATTTCGTCGAACTGAGCCGCCAGGCACAAAGTCGTAACTTGACACGGTGAGCGAGTTGGAGCCGGAAAAAGCTGCGGACGCGCTGAACCAAGCCGGCAACCACGCGCCGAAAGCACCGAGCAACTGGGTGTCATGGTTCGTGGTTTTCCACTTCTTGGGGCGTCCCTTTAAAAAAAAAAAAGCACACACACACACACACTCAAAGAACCATAGCGGCCCTTCTTCGACAAGGCACGCCATCTCCACGCATTGCAACGCGATACTGCGATGACGGATCAAGTGTCAAATCCCGTCGCATTTTCCGTTTAGCCGACATGTGAGTGGTGTGTGCACCAAACCAGACCAAAAAGCAAATCGCGATGGTAGTATGTGTTGCTCAAATGTTGCATCTGATGGCGAATGAACGTAAAAAGTATTGTCTTGTTTACCCCCATGGATGCGTTGTCCTCGGGTGCATCACAAGCTCGAGCCAAGATAGTTGCAACAACTGGCAGGTTGAAATGGGACCCGTTTCTTGAGGCTTTTCATGGAAACCAAAAGGCAAACCACCATTTTACGGGTCCCCTAAGCAAACGCACACCCGTATTACTACGCCAGAAGGTTCTTGGCAAATTCATGGAAGCTGAGAAGAAAAATGGACCAAATTGCCCCTGAGAATGGTGTCGAATGCGTGTTGCACCCAAAACTTTAGCCATTTTCCGCCAATTGGAAGAGTTGCTGTACGATTGACCCTGAGTAGGCAACTCTCAGAAAATTCTCGCATTGTGGAATAGCGCACGGTTGCTCGAGTAGTGCGGGATGAGTTTGGCAAAGACAAGCAAAAGCAATGGGCCACAAAAGTCATCGCACACGCGATTGGATTTTGCTGCATATTTAAGCAATAAAATATGTGCGGGCATCACTCACCCATGCTCACCACCGTTGTCCGAAAACCAAAAAAAAACACACAATGCAGCCGAAAAATTCACGGCATGTCAATAAAATACCAGTAAAGGTTCCGAGGTGCATCCTTTCATTTCATCACATTCGACTCCTCCAACTTCTTGTCCAAAAGTTTGTCAAAATGGATCAGCCCAACTGCGATGTGACAGTCAGCAACAGGTCCTTGCCAAGCTTTGGCAAAGGAACATTGGCCACTCATTGGAAGCTCAAATTGATAGGTTTTGCTTTGCCCTGAAGTTGCTTCGCCTTGCTTTGCCTTGCTTTGCTTTGCCTTGCTTGGCTGCTGCTTTGTCAAGTTTATGTGTGGGAAAAGGTTCGGCGCAACACCTCTGCACAAAAAAAACGGAAGTTGACAGAAAGGCCCTGCTTCAACCTCACCGCGAAGTGGTGTTCTTCGTGGTCTCATCACCAGCTTGGTTTGGCGACAGAACAAAGCTGCGCGGCGGACCGAAACCAACAAGCACATGTTTGCAACAGTCAAAGATTTGTTTTGCACCACACAGCCGTGACACAGCCTGTATTGCGACTGCCGGATACAATGCATACAGCAAAAAGGAACAAGGGTCTGCCAGCTGTTGCAGCAGCAAGCGGTGACCTGTCCCGCGTGCTCTTCTTTTTACACCTCGCTGCCACTGTTTGTAACGACGGTATGTACAACGCAAACAAAGGTGGCCCCAGCGGTGGCAAAGCCAGAGTGCCGACCATCAAGTGTTTCAAGAAGCAACACGTCACAAAAAGAAAGAGCCAAAAGGAGAAAGGCAAAAAACCAAACGAAAAGCAACAAAAGAAGGTCAGCACCAACGCAAAAGAGGCACCGATCAAAGATCGCGACAAAACGGCAACCGAACCAAAGTTTCATTTGCCAGCGTTGGAAGGATGGCGTCTGCGCTCAACATCTCAAGCAAAAGCACGTCAGGAAAGACCTTCGGAGCACAACACCAAACCAAATTGGAGGTCACATTTCGGACGTCACACGCAGCACTGTAAAACCATCACCCTTCAAGCGGAAGATGTTAGCAAGAATGGTAGCGCCCCGACATGAACGGGAACCTGAGCTGGGCTTCGCCTCGGACGATTTTGCAGGAACGAAGTGGAAGAACTTGACGGGAACCGACGGCACCGAGATGCTCTCGACTACTCGCACCTCACCAGCAGGTAGGAGGCTGCTGTGGAACCCCTGCACCGTCCCATCCACGGGTTGCGCCTTCCTTGCAAGAAATGAGAACTTGAACCAGGGGGAGAGAAATGAGAACTAGAACCAGGGGCTCAGGGACCCCCATTCAAAAAAGAGAGGAGGGAAGGATCGTTTTTCAGCTTGGGACCGAGGTGGAAGGGAGATGTCTTTTCTGGGATTCGATAAGTCGGACTGAAGAAGATGGGGGTCAAGGCAGCGCGAGCTTGTCTGAAGCCGCTGATTTGGAAGGAGATGGTCGACTGCGGAAGCTTTTGCAAATGTACCATGGATGCAAGTTTTATAAATGGTATTGGGAAGGAAAATGGGTCGCTATGATAAGGGAGACTTAGAGTCTTTCGATCCACCTTTAAAAATCATCAGAACGCGGGCAATTCGCCAGTCGGGAGATTCTGCGCAGTGTGTAAAATAAGAAAGGAGCAATGTGACAAAAAAATGTGGCCGTGTTTAACGTTTCAAATCGTTCTGGGGGGAAGATGAAGGAGAAGCTTCCGTGTGGAAGGGATGGCGAGGTCAGTATCAATGAAGAACAATGGTGGAATCCGTGGAAGTGTGCGGAGAACAAAGTCGACAGCTTCAAGGATTTCAAGGATGGCTTGTAGTTCGGCAGAATTGTTTGAGACAATAATGGGAAATGGTAGGTTCCGACTAGCCATGCAGGTCAAAGTGTAGAGTGTCAGTGTGGGCGGACGCTCCAACCTGCTGGGCTGTGGCTTCTTGATTTGGACAGAAGCCGTCTGTGCAGACGTGAAATTGCCAACAGTGGTCGTTGGGACGGAAGAAGTTGGTCACAATGGTATCGGAAAAGAGTTTTCTCGCTTCAATCAAAAATAAACGTCAATACAAACGCTGCCGTTCTTGACTTGGACAGAAGCCGTCTGTGCAGACGTGAAATTGCCAACAGTGGTCGTTGGGACGGAAGAAGTTGGTCACAAGGGTATCGGAAAAAAGCTTTCTCGCTTCAATCAAAAAAAACGTCAAGACAAACGCTGCCGTGGGGATACGGCGCAAAAAAATCTCATGGTTGCCTCGACTAAGGAGCGACGGTGAAACTAGGGAGTTGAGACTTATTGACAAAAGGCCATCACCGTACACCGTTCGCTTCTGAAATGCCACGTCGGCTCAGGAAAAAAACTCGAATATATACCCTGCCTGGAGGAAGAACGAACCGCCTGATTGTCGAATGATCGCTTATTAAAGGCGTTCTCAATGGATCTACGGCGTCAAAACCTGTTGCACTGCTCCTAGCTTGAACCTAAACAACTCTCACAAAAGGGAACGCGAGAAGAGCGCGCATTCCTTTTAAACCGGTTAGAGTAGTAAGGAACATAGGCTTATAGTATCCAATTAATTTCCGTTTTTGGCCTGAAACAGCTGCCAAAACAGCTTTTTTTGCATCCTGCCGAGCAATGTCATTGATAACGTCATCGCTTGTCATTGCCCCCTTTTTGGTGGAAAAAATGCGCAAAACGGCCCATTTCCGGAGTTTCCGAAAACCTCGTTCTTTTCGGTCAGTAAACGGCTCTGCAGGCTTGACGACAGCCTGCCGAGCTTGTCACCACTTGTCATCACGTGTCATCACTTGTCATCAGACGTCGTCGCCGGGATTCAAGCCCAGAATCCTGCAAATCGCAGAGTGTGGGCTTGTCCACTGAGGTAAGGGAGCTTTGGGTGTTTTTGGGTGCCAGAAGCAGCCTGCCGAGCTTGTCATCGATGTCATCGTTTTGTCATCGTCGCGGTTTGGGTGCTTTTGGGTGCCAGAAGCAGCCTGCCGAGCTTGTCATCGTTGTCATCGTTTTGTCATCGCCGGGGTTTGGGTGCTTTTGGGCGCCAGGGGCAGCCTGCCGAGCTTGTCATCAATGTCATCGTTTTGTCATCGCCTGGGTGCGCAGAGCTTGTCATCGTTTTGTCATCGCCGGGGGGTGCTTTTGGGTGCCAGGGGCCGGCGCGCCTGCTCGCCGACACTCTGGATGGGCTCACCGCGCAGGGCAACGCAGATCCTGGACGCCACGACGGCCTCGGCCCTGCTGCTGAAGCACGAGTTCCTCGACGGCGGGCGACGACGGCCACCCTGAAAAAGGTGCTGCTGGAGCCCACCCAGACCACACTAGGCAACTTCTTGGTGCGCTCCAACAGCCAAAGCCACTCGACCAATAGCGTCGGCGAAAGCATATGTAAAAAACATGTTTGAAGGACCTGTCACCGGGAACATCCCGTCCTGGACAACGGAGAGGTGACGGAAGGCACACACGTCACCGCAGGGCAGCTGGCCCTCGCTCTGACGCCCACGGCAGCATCCAGCAACAACACAGCTGCCACCCAGTCCCTGGACGACCGGGTCACTGCAGAGCTGGCTTCGAAGCTGGACAGCAGCGCACTGGCGCTGGGCCACGGCAGCAGCCCTGGCCACCAGGGACGGGCAGGTGGCTGCGCACGGGAGCAGCATTGCTGCGCTGCAGAGCTTGCTGACCACGGGTCTCTCGAACAAGGCTGACCAGTCGGCCTTCGACGTGCTGGAGGGCGTGGTGGCCACAGAGAGCACCCCCGACGGCGTGGACTTGAAGCTGTCGAACTACAGCACCACGGCAGCCATGAACGGCTCCATCGCCTCGGCCAACAACGCCACGCTGGCCACGGTGGC